TACAGAAAAACAACAAGAGTCGTTCGCGACGTTGGGGCTTACACCCGAGACACCTTATTGTAGGCTGTCTATGTAGGGCTTGTACTTAGTATAGGTTCAATGTAAGAGGTTAGTATTATTTTTTTTTTAAATGGTTTAACATAATCAACGTATTATTTTGCACTCGATTCATATTCATATTAATATTTTTTTTCACTTGTTGTTACATAAAACCTAATTATTGCAGGTTTGTAATAGTAGTAATTGTAATTGTGTAAAATTGCAACCGGAAAAATTCACCTAATGTATGTATGCCTTCGTTTGTAGAAAATTAAATTGCATCTTTCCTTCCATCTGGGTACAGTATTCTACAAGGGTAATCAACACCAGTTTGTGAGTCTTTGAGTGAAATCGCCTTGCATTTGAAAAAAGAAGTTGGCTGTGATGGTGATTCGCCACAGCCAACGAGAAGATTTTAAAGTTATTTTAATTTTTATTTGATTTCTTGAAAGTAAATTACAAAAATTGATTAAAATCGTCTACGAAAATATATAACAACAACAATAAAATAATGTATAAACGCAATTTTTTAAATCTTAAAATCTTAAGTTTGTTTGCTACCATCACCAAATTTTTTTTAAAAACTTAAACTTAAATGAGTCTTAGCTAATTTACTTATAGTGTGCTTATAAACTTAAATGATCCTTATTATTATAAAAATTTTCCCACCCGCCCACAAAAAAAAATTTTTTCTATGTAACAAATTAATTTTGTTTTGCCAAATTTAAAAAATAAAAAAACGAATGAAGAATGGTTGGTTTGGTTGAATCGTATTTCAACGTGTTTGATATAAATATATTCGATTTTCCGCTGTTTACATCGGTAATTTTTTTGATAAACCAAGTATATTCATAAGTTGATAATATCCCGTAAGAAGCATTTAATTTCACCATAAAATCATAAACTTCATTAACATTCTCGTAAAAATCATTTGTTTTTGCATAATAAGAATTCATAATACTATTTTTATCATTCATTGATAATACATGTTTTGATCTCAATGCCAGTACCGCAATAACTTTCTGGTTGTCGTCATCATCATCATCATCATCACCACCCCTCTTGTCCGCATCACTATTATCGATTATTTTCCAATCAATTAAATTACAGCCAGCGTAAGATTCCATTTTTTTAAATTTCAAGTTACTTGCACGATTATTATTATTACGATTAATGTTGGCTGTGGAATTAAAAACGGTTTCCAGCATTCTGATAATTTGTAATTCAAAAGCCTTGATTATATCAATTTTGTTTTCAACTGGGACATTTGAAAATGGGACATCGCTTGGTTTCTCGTAAATTTTCTTGGAATCTTCCAATTGAGAACTTTCTACATCGTCGATAAAATCAAACCATAGAAATGCTCTGGAAGGCTGATTTGCTTGCCCATGATTAAACACATCATAATGATAATTCTTCGAATATGATATATAAGGCGGAATTGAATTAAGGAAATTTTTTAGTGTATATAAATGTAAGTTCTTATTCATTTCAAAGTTATTGTGACAATAATTTTTATCGCAGGAATAAGAATTAATAAGAAATTTTTTAGGATGTTTATTTATGATAAAAAATGAAGAAGGGTTTGATATAATTTCATTCATTTTCAGTTATAGATTATATATATCTTATTGTTAATTAATTATTGAAGCAAAGGACACAAGTTTTGATTCTGAGAAATTTCTCGTTCTTTTATAACAATTTTCTTTCGACTCAGCATCTTTTTGAAATCCGAATTAGATTAAAGAATTTTTGGATAGAATTGAAAAAACCAAAAACGCGTTAAAATGAAAATAAAATCAATTTGTCTATTTCTTTTATTAATGAAGATATTTAAAACCGAAAAAAGACCCATTAACCAAATATTGATATCTGTCGGGCGAAAAAACTTATAATTTCCTAATTTACGATCAATTAACTTGACTTAACTCGATTTGTTTTTAATTAATAAAATTCCTGCATGTCATGTAAATAATAATAATTGATGATATATCTATAAGAATCGTATGTTCATCAGATAATTAATTTAAGATGATGCATTCAATTGGTGACGTAAAATAATGACAATATTGTGGATTATTTTTTTAATTTGATTAATTCGTTGGTCATATTAAAGAACGAATTCATTCTGGCCAATTATAGAATTTATTTACAAACATACCAGTTTCCCAAATTTTACAATCCACTGTTATGGACTCTATTCATCTATTCAGACCATTTTTGTTTGTCAGCAAGCCGATTGTTTGTGAAACATACAAATCGGTTGTGCCGCGTGATACCAGTTAATATTTAGTATTAGTAGTCGTGTGGACATTTATCTTCCAATTGATTTTATCGAATATAAACTCAAGCTCCTTTATTAAAGTAAACGAAATTGTCCCGTTAAAAGCTTTTTAATAAATATCTTTTCATATCGAAGGGTCTTCTCTACATGAATCCACGGCTATTCAAAAATGGTATTACTTTTTTCGTTTCAAAGCTGAGACTATTTTTCAATATCGCTTCAAAAGACTTGATAATGGCTAAAAATACTCTATGGTTAACAAGTTTCAGAGAGATTAACAAAACAACGGATTTGTAATGTTTTAATGCTAGTTATGTCAATAATTTTTTACCATTCAACAAAAGATTTTTAAATGAAAGAACCAAGTATGTCAGTAATGGTTTTTTTTTTCTATAATATGCAATATTTACTATTATAAAAAACATCAAAAGGTATTATTTAAAAAAGGAAATGTTTTAAAAAGAAATGTTTTAAAAAAGAAAAAGGAAATATTTTATATATTTCAAAAAATACTTTTGGTATATCAATTCCAATTTTGTATCATGATTGTAACACAATCCTGCAATGTTTTAAGGCTCATATTAATATATAAAGAATATAGATAATCTGTCAATCAGTAGTTGTTATAAGAAAACGTTATTATTATAGTAACATTAAAACAATAACATTGGCAGCAGCAAGCAGGCAACGAATTATCGATGCCACTCCATTGGAAATATATTAATTAATATGACAAAAATAACGCGAGTTAAATTTCCAAAATTTGATTGGTGTTAATCACAATGGACAAACATGTATTACTCGAGCGAGTATTAATGAAACTTTAATAAAAAACATTTCTAAAAAAAACAAATTCTTTTTCTTTTTTGACTTACATATATCATATATTAATAACACCATCATCAGATCCCGCCAATGTTATTGATGATAAATGAATAAAGGCAGAAATATAAAACAATCACCAACAAATAAATAAATACCTTTTAGTTTAATCATTTCATTTCTAAATATAAATATAAAGAATATTAATTAATAATAATGTTTTTGTAAGATAAAAATACAATCTATTGTAAATATTACATATTATAAAAAAGAACCGTATTACCCATTACTGTCTTCAATATACTTGTTTCTTTCATTAAATTTTTATTGAATGGTAAAGAATTATTGACATAAATCGTATTAAAGCGCTTATAAATCCATTTTTTAACCAATCCTAGACAAGATCTATGAGGCTTGGAAAGCAATTTTTGCAAAATATGCTTGATTAATTATTCAATAGTTATATGATAATCGGGGTCGATGCTTATTTGATGTGAAAATGAAACACCATATACAGTAAATATTTAATTAGATTTTTCAAAATTCAAAAAAACGCAATAGTTTTCTTTGTTTATTAATATATATTTTGTATCTCACTAAATACTTTATTGAATTAAATTCAAAAGAAAAGCCTCAAAAATTATTATGTAGTAATAGTAATGTTATTTAATGTTGATTTTAAATCACAATTCGTTGACGCTTTTAATAATAATATTAAATACCTTTATTGCTTGCTTATATATATTATATAGCTATTGTTATTCTAATCATTATTATTTACGTGGAAATAAATGTGGACGCGCCAAACAAATTTCTACATATATGAATATAAAGAATATAAAGGCAAAATTTGACTTTGATGGTCGAATTATTCTGTATCAAAACTCTTTTTGAGGTAGATATTTATTATAAAGAAACTATATCTCAATTTTGGTGGGGATTGCTATACAACAAGGGTATTAAACGGTCATTCGATTGTAATGTAAATTCGAATTAATCAGTTTCACGTGATACATCACTCACATGACTAATTTTCGAATGGTTAGTATTAGTAAATAAAAAAATCACTCGGTGGACAATAGTAAAACTACGTTACAATGGACTTTCTTTTATTTTTTTTATGATATTGTTTCTCGTTACAATGGACTCTCACTAGAATGAGGAAAAAATTATAAACGGTATGTACTTATTTATTAATTAACAGATGATTGATTGATTATAGAATAGAAACGGCTGGAAATAATTAATGATGATGAGATAATTGTTGCATTATAAGAAGAACCAGAAGAGGATGTCAAAAATATGGGTATTCTAATATCAAATACAATTGTTCTAGATAGCATTCAAAATTTAACTATTTGCAACAAAGTTCTGATATAAGGTAAATAGTATCAGAAACGAGAGATTTGCACTTAAAAGAAAGCAAAATGCTTCTTTAAAGAAACCTACCTTAGAAGTTTTTATAACAAATAATTCTAGCTATTTTAAACATTTTATTATATGAAATTTGACCAATCATTTTTATAATACACTACCGTTTATTTATTAATTGTCTTTACATAAATTGTTATAACTCATCATACCGATAATTCTATTACTATAGCTCGCATAACTCCATATCATTACATATTATTATCCTTCTCCATCTATATAGTTGCTTAGCCTGTCGTTTAGAATATGATATTATTAACGAATTAATGGAAAATTTTAAATGACTAACTATGGCATCGGAAGTAGAACAGCCATAGTCAAAATAAAAAGTGTTTTAGGTTCGCAAAAGGCTTACTTTTAATGTAATAGCGAGATTTTTCAAAATATATTGATATTGACTCAATAACAAGTCACTATTACGCGTTTGTTTAAAATTTTAAATACGATCATATAAAATTGGTTTTTATTACTATAAATTTCAAATTCGGGCGCTGCTACGTTGTAAAGACATATTTTGTCGGTTTATTCCGTCTTATAATTTTGAAATATTTGTTCTATATAATAGCAATTGCCTAAATTTTAATTATTTCAATGGAAAGTTTAAATCATCAGATGAGTTATAAAAATTGCCATCCCTTTGTGTTATTTCAAAAATTAATGTAGATGGCCAAGAGATAATGAACTCTTGATATTTTATTTTTTTATTGTCACATTCGTAGAGATTTACATGTGAACGTTGGCATAGTTCATTTAGTATTACATTGCTAATTAGTTTATTTTTCTCCAAAAAAAATAGAAATTTGACCTACTAAACTTGGATTCACTACGAAAAAAGGACCATTGAAGTCTTCAATCCCATTTATTGGTATAAATGGTTTAAATGGAAGTGGTGCAATATGAACATATCCAGACTCACACTGCCACATTCTTAGGCCAAGAGTACAAAAATGTGATAATAGTTTCAATGAACTTTTTTCTTCTGCAATGATGTTTTCAAACCAAAATGTTAAACTTCATTCTGCCACTTTTTTTCCAAGATGCGAAGGCGAATCATTTCTCTAGCTCAAGTGTAGATTTTTTTGCTGTAAAAATGGTCCAAATTATCTCTTATAGTATAACTTGAATATAATTTTTTAAGACCCAAATCACTATTTGATAAAATCCCAACATTGTTTGACCACCAATCCATTTTATGTAAATAGTTGTTATATAATATTTATAACAGTGCTGTTATATAGCATGAATTTCTTTGATTGATATTTCTGTGGTGGATTTTTTTTGCTTTTTTTATCATTAGCATTGTCATTATTTTTTAATAAAGCTTTCGTTGTATCCAGTGGTCTATGATCATCAACCCCAGCATTTTTTTTATTTCTTTTCCCCCAGATGGTTTTGTTGTACCATACAACTCAGCTACCTTTTTTCCATCTTTCTGTTCCTCCATATCCTGAAGAAAGTCTTTTATTTCGATCAGAATAATCTATTTCCAATGAAATTGCAAATAGCAGAAGATTTTCAATGCCTAAATAATAATGATTGATATTAATAATCTGTACATTAATTTAATTAAAATAATTTTTAAACAAATACCTGTTATTATTGATTGATGTGTAGTTCCGCACATGTAATATCTATGATGCATTGATTCTTGAACAATTATTGAATCCGGTGATTTTCCTGATAAGTCTTCATCCATTGAACTTAGTGTAGGAAATAGCATTTTGCCCACATCTGTGTGAACCCACCATTTCAGCCAAGAACTAGTAATATTTTGCCAACTTTTTTGAATTGATTCAATAACCTTATCAAATTCACTTTTTTCATTAATTTTTAAAAGGCCTATGCCATTGATTGAAATTGAGTCGAAGAGTCATTATTTACAATTGAATGGTTTGTGCAATTCTTATTACTGATTGCTGAAAATGTTCTTGACAACCTTTTAACAAAGATTTTGCTTCCTCCTTCAAATATTCCATATGGGATTTTATCATGTTTTCAGAAAGAGATGAACTTTTGTTAATCAATTTTTGTAAACCATGTTCAATATATGCTTTCACAAACCCATTCCTTTCTGCAATACTGAAATCAATTACTTGTGCATATAAATTGTTATCATTGCCATTATTATTTGTATCATTATCAATCCATGTAAACAAATATTTAAAGTGTTCTTTATAATGTAAAGTATCTTCTTTTAAGATGATTGAAATTAATATTGATATTCATCTTTGAAGGAATGGACAATATATTGAACTATCATAAAATAAAATCGAATGAATCTTCAAGTAAATCTTTTATTAATTTCGTAAATGATTATAACATACCTTGATAATAAAAATACATTCTCAAAATATTTATATGTACTTTCTGTCAAGATTCCAGGAAAGCTATTCTCAGAAAGTAATTGATTTTCCATCCATTCTGATTGCAAAATAATGATCCCATTGTTTAAAAAATCTGCCTCTCTAATGAAATGTGGGCGGTCTGTTTGAAATTGCAAAATATCTAAAACAAAATTATCACCATGCTAGTGAGCTGTTTTAGTTATAAGGTTTTCTTCATCAATTACTTTACATTGATAATAAGCAATCCAGTCAACATTAGCAAATGCTTCTGAAATATTTCTAACTGAACCAAGTGGATTGTTTTTATCCAAGGACTGCCCAACTTGTAATTTTTTAGGTAAAATATCAGGTGCTGTAGAAACATGCTTTTTGAATATATCCTTCTCATTATTGAATGGTTTATTTTGAATAGGTTTCTGATGTTCACAATGTCCTTTATGTAATAAATAGAAACAAAAACCATTTTCGTCAGATTGGTCCAATTTGATAAATTTACAATTGACAGTACACTGAATCCATTTTAAAGATCTTAAAAATCAAGAAAAAAAATTAATAACATATATTTGTTAACATATAATGATAAACAGCTTTAAACAATTAAACTTAAAATACCATCACAAGTAGATAATGAGCAGCCTTTGATAAGTTACTCATCTATTTTTTTTTTGTAGTCTTTCATTTTTGATCTAACTTGGGCACTACATTTTTTACATCAAATTGTTCCCAAACAATTTTTTACATTAAATTGGCATTATAATTGTCATGTTTTCTAGACTCTGAAGAATAAAAGCCCACCACTTTGTGACCAATCTCTTGGTTCTTCTTTGAATTTAAAATCATAATCTCACCAGGCTACAATGGATAATTTTCACCTAAAAAATATATTATATATATGTGTTGTATGTGAAATCGAAATTATAATTGAAATTTTGGAGCAGGATGTTTGGATATGAAATTCTGATTGGCTAATTTGAATTTCACATATTAATATGTGAATTACATTCACAGAATTGCACAACATATATATTGAGGTTTAATTAAATTATATGTAACTAAAAAAATAAATATGTATATATAGTATATATTATTACTGTTATTTTTATCTGAATTATCTTTATCTGAATTACAATGAATGCAAATTTCATTAGGTTTGTAAATGTTTAATTGATAATTTGAGAGAAGGTTTTGCAAATGTTATTTTGAGAGAAAAAAAGGTTAATTATATATAAACCTTCATTAATAGAGGTTTTTTTTTGTAATTAAATTTTTATTTTTTTTGTGTATATAGTCAAAAATTTCAGGAAACAGATAAAAAGTAAAGCATATTTATACATTTTTTTTATTTACATTATTAATTAAACATCTAAAGAAAAAATAACTTATTCTACTAAATTACAGTTGGTGCTCAATATAGTGAACCTACTGTATAGTGAATCATAAGATGGAAATTTCCTATTCATTATCTATAAATTCAGCTCAATATAGTAACTTTTAATATAAACACTTGATATAATTATATAGTGAAGTTTTACTTGGTACCATGCTTAATTATAATATTCAATTAAAAAATTGAAAAATATAATAATTTGACTTCTTGAGATTTTTCAAAAAAAAAACTCAAAAGTAGGTACAGGGATCAACAAATTTTTCCCCTCAGAAATTTTCGTGTTACAATATTTTGAATTTCATGACCAAATTTAGTAATGATTTTCTTTTGATGTAATATGTTTAGGGAACAGGAGAGACGTCCTATATAAGGAATGGATTTTCACAATTGATTTCAATTTTTTTTATACAGTTTAAAATACTTTTACAAGGTTATTACGTAGCTCATTATTGCAATAAAACATGTGTAAATAATTACACAAATTTGAAGCTTTACACTTTGTTGTTATCATATCTTTTGAATCCACAATTTTCATAATACAATTTACTTGAAGAAAAAATGTCTGAAATTAAATATTGCACAGAATGTAAAACCATTAAATCAGCCAAATTTCATCAACTGAAAGGCAATAAATGGAAAGAAACTGAGAACAACAACTTAATGAAAGTAACATGTTGTTTTATGTAACATTTGTTATATGAATTTTGTAGAAAATCTTTTAAAAAGAGAACATAGGAGAGCAAAAGCCACAGATGTGGAAAGAGGTAAGTGAAAAGATTGATTTCACTAGAGCCATCAAGGTCCTATATACAATTTTGATGAAATACAAAGATTGCTTCACCAGGCTTGAAGGGGTTTTTTGACCAGCTCTATTAATGGTAGTGTTCATGTGTTATCTTCTTGTTTTATTAAATAATACAAAAATTAACTCTTTTAAGTTTGACCTTGCATTCTATTTAGACTCAGTAGATACAAGTCCTGGAGCAACTACAACATCAAGAGCAGTAGATCATAAAAGAAGCAAGTTGCAGATGAACATGAGAAATATGTAGAGAACGCACTTACAAAAAGCACACATGTTGAATGTTGACAATTATCATAGATTCACATCCAGAGTCAATCTGATACTATCAGTATATCAAGCACAAAATCAGTATTATCCTTTAATTACTAAAAATTTGTTATTTCTAGGAGACCATCTACATTTTTTGCAATTACATATATTGCAGTCAGGGTTCTTTCCAAATTTGGAAGTAGAATTTATGCCACTTTGTTGATCAATTCATATATGTTTTGTATGTTACAAACGAGCCAACGTGATACTTTGTACCTTTGGAAAAATTTTTTTTTTAAAAACAAACCCTTATTATAATAATTGAAATAAATACCTTTAAACTTTTACTTTCTTAATCCACTAAAC